CCTCTCAATGATTTCTTCAGTATCCTTTACTTGTTATCCCAAGGAGCTGGGTTGGTACACCAAAGACTCACCTCTCCCGCCTCTGCTCGTATGCTTCTCCACTGCCCAGGGTGGCCTGGGAACCCCTCCTGTCACTTCTTCTGGTCCTTTCCACAAGAACCACAGTCCACATGCCTGCCCATCAGAACCTGGGAGAAACTTTGGGTTGTGACCACTCTTGGCTTTTGATACACTAAAATTATTTAGAAAACTACTTTTCCATGAAACCTTGTTTTCAAACTTAACTATCTTGGTACAGAATCCTATTTTGAATGATAGGGGTGAATATTAACTTTCTTTTTGACTATCTGAAGTAGCTCTCCTAATCTTTTCCCAGACTTGGGCTAACTGTGGAGAAGGTCACATAAAGACAAATGTGAAAGAAAAAGGCCTCACTATTTTAAAAGATTGATCACAGTAAAAATATTCAAGACAATAAACATTTGTAACTCATAGAAGTACTTTACAATGATAGAGTGTTCTACAGCCTTTGAACTATAGTATCTTATTAGGTCCTCAATATGGATTATTATCCCATTTTATAGTTAAGGCAACTGAAAAGCTAAAATGCTTATTTAAGATAATGGCACTTACAAAAGGAAGAGAATTATTAATAACTCACATAGTGTATAACCCTACTTTCAGTGTTCTACCTCCAAGGCCATATCCTTTGCCTCGGCTTCAATATTAAAGCTGAAGCCTGTTTCCAGGTCCTGAGACAGTGCTCCAGTCATGTTCTTAGCTCAGAACCCTCAGTGCCCACCCAGACCTGTGCTCTGGAGCTTTCCCCTCACTTGAGTACTTCTTGGAGACTCAGCTTTGAGTTTAAATAAATAATACGAATATTTTATACAGCATAGCTTGGTGTTTTTTAATGTGGCAGTTTTTCTTGTATCCTATATTGTCAAAATGGAAATTCTGTTCTTTTCATTCTGTCAATGCTAGCAAAACTCATGATCTCAGTCTTAGAACTAAGATTTGAACTAAAATTCATCGTAATTTATCTTTTTCTTATGGATATACATTTATGTGGCCACTCTTTTTTTTCTATGTTAATGAGTTTATATTGAAAAAGTAACCTGCAATGGTTTAAGAAATGTTTATTAGTGCTTTCAGTGTGTGAGTCTGTACATTTGAAATGGGCTCTTTATTTAGATCTGTTCTCAACCTCAGATTTTCAAAATCAGAGAATTAAGAGACCTAGTCATAAAAGAACTAAGAAGCCTGAACTTTTCATTGAGGCTTAATTATAGATACCATTAACATTGTAATGTAATAATTATAATAGCTAACATTTATTGAGAACTTGCTAATCATATTACCTAGATTTTCTCACTTAAACATCAAATCTACATGGCAAGTACCTGTTATTATCATGTTTTACAAACGAGGATGTGATGATACTAATTCCTTACATTTCAGTAATGATTTATGTTCTACAGCGTTGTTTCACCTACATTAACATATCCTGTGATTTGACATGGCAAGTATTACTATACTGGTAGTTTATAGAAGAGACTGTAACTTCAGAGCTTTTAAATGGTTGGTGCAAAATACTATAGCTAGTAGCCAACAGAGCTGGCCTTTGGTCATTGGGCTAACTTTTCATTTCTAGGTCTTCTTCCTAGCTAAGGTCTTCTAGTTTAAGGCTCTTAGAAATGAAGTATGCATTTAAAATAATTGCGAGAAGTCCATTTATTTATTTTTAAAGATTTTATTTATTTATTTGAGAGAGAGAGAATGAGAGACAGAGAGCATGAGAGGGAAGAGGGTCAGAGGGAGAAGCAGACCGCCCGCCGAGCAGGGAGCCCAATGCGGGACTCAATCCCGGGACTCCAGGATCATGACCTGAGCCAAAGGCAGTCGCTTAACCAACTGAGCCACCCAGGCGCCCCGCGAGAGGTCCATTTATTGATGTGTTAATGATGCATAACCACTTAAACCTAATCTGAGGAAGGATGCTTCCTGCATTGCACAGGTGGGAAAGCAAGCAAGACAGACTGGAATCAGGCTCACCTACTGGTCCTGACTGTTGGGCAGTTTTGCTGAGCCTCTCTGCCTCTCTCTCTCCACCTGCACACTTGGGATGGTTGGGCAAAGTTGCCTCTCAGTCTCACTCTAATATATAATGATTTTATATAGTTCTCTCCTAAAAACCTCAGTCTTGTGTGATAAGGCTTAAAAATGAAAGGAGCAAATTTTTAAAAATAATAATTTTAAGCCTCTCCAAAGATTAATTAGGGAAACAAATGGTAGTAGCAATAATGTTTAAAATTAATCTGAAAATGGAATTTGGAAAACAATTCCATTTATAATAACATCAAAGAGAATAAAGTACTTAGGAACAAATTTAACAAAACAAAAGCAAAACTTATTTTCTGGGAACTTCAAAACATTGATGAAAGAAATTTCAAAAGACCTAAGTAAATGGAAAGACATCCTGTGTTCATAAACTAGAAGACAGGATATGGTTAAGATGATAGTATTCTTCATATTGTCCTACAGATTCAACACAATCCCTATCAAAATCACAGTTGGCTTTTTTGCAGAAGTTAACCAGCTGAACCTAAAAATCATACAGAAATTCGAGGGACTGAGAATAGCTAAAACAATCTTTAAAATAGGGCAAAGTCAGAAAACTCACACGTCCTGATTTTTATTTTTTTTTTTAAGATTTTACTTATTTATTTGAGAGAGAGACTGAGATAGAGAGAGCATGAGAGGGGGGAGGGTCAGAGGGAGAAGCAGACTCCCTGCCGAGCAGGGAGCCCCATGCGGGACTCGATTCCGGGACTCCAGGATCATGACCTGAGCCGAAGGCAGTGGCTTAACCAACTGAGCCACCCAGGCGCCCCTCACACTTCCTGATTTTAAAACTTACCATAAAGCTAAAGTAATCAAGAATGTGTGATACTCTCATGAGGATAGATATATAGATCAGTCGAGTAGCATTTAGCACAGTGCTAAAAGTGATAGCCATTGTCAGAGGTGTTGTGATAAAGACTTAGAGACAAAGGCCTGCTCCTAAGCCCCTGCACTGCTTTTGCATGTGCCTGGAGCACCGTCCCTGTCTCACAGCTTAATTAAACCCTTCATGACCGCAGGGCAGGCTGCTTCTCTGGTGGGTGTTTCCTGACCACATTCAGCCACTGAGTTACCAGGCTTGACTGTTTCAGTTCTTGCAAATCTGTCATCTCACTTCTGGCAGCCCTGATTTATTTGTCTGTCTTACCCTCTGGGTGCGACTTGAGAGTAGGGGCGGCTGCCTCACTCCCAAGTTTCCCAGCTCAGGGCTCTGTGCTTGGTAGGTGCTCAGTTAATACTGTTTGAAAGACTGAACAGTAAGGGTAGGGCCTAGATAGATTGTTTGAACATGGTCACATGCTTCCATAGGAGCCCTAAGCATCTGCTTACCAGTAAAGAGGATAATCTGAACTGTTTTATGTTGGGAACTTCATCTAATTATATGGTATCACTCATTTATCTAGTATATTTGGAATCATAGTATAGTCCTGTTATTAAAATAGAAAGATAGACATCAAGAAATCTACATTTAATTATAAATTTAAATTTATTTGTTACAAGTCAGTAGAGAATAAAAGATTGCTAATGGGTAGCAGATTGAGAAGGATTACTCTTATTAAATATTTTTTCATTTCGAAAGGCTCTTTTTTGAAGGATTTCTGTGTTTTATAAACTGCCATGGAAGAAGCACAGCATACTCCATCAGCTGCTAAGAGAAACTGAAAATTTTAGATTTCCATGGAAATCCTATTGTCATTTTTAATGATGGCATTGGTATAGATGTGTATACCAAATTTTTGTAGTAAGTGATCTAGTATCTGTTTGTACTTGCCTTAGGCTGTGTTCTTGCCAAAATTTAGTAAACCTCTTTAGAAAAATTCCCCTTATCCCTATGCCAGTTTCTCTAGAAGCCAAAAGCTTTCATCATAACTCACCTCCCTGCTTAATCTGAAAAAGAACAAAGCTAAAGTTATTGAAATGTGATAAATTATGATAGTAATCTATCTAAACTGTATGCAGCCATTATTGACTTTATGTGTGTTACTACCTTGAGAATTTGGCATTACCTGGTGCTTGTGATAACCTTACCTAGAAACAGAGGCATGGGTAAAATCATCTCAGAAGTGTCTTTTAATTTTGTCCTTCTCTGTAATCTTTTAAAGTAGAGGCGTTCATTAAAGACCAAAGAATATAAAACAATTTCACTTCTGTCTTCAATTTATGGTGCCTTTCATCAATTGTTTCAAAATATTTATGCACAGTTCGGGAGACCATTTCTGTACATAGCACTGAAGTGAATTTGGAAGGTGGCATTTCAGTAAGTATAGTACAGAGAAACTTTTGACTTGGAACTGTGTCATAATTTATAATTGGATAGCTTTGCAGGTTTCTAAAGAAGAAAGATCACCACTTATTGGCAACCCAAATGCATTTGTTTGTTTCCTTTAACTAGTTATACCCTGTGTGCTAAGTTACTCTCCTCTCCCTTTCCCCATGAGGCCCAAAATAGCTTTATTAATAGGAACATATGCTGTTTATGTTCTTAAAAAAAATCAGGGTGGTCTTAGATGTCTGTCTTCCATTCTGGCATTTCCCTTTATACAACCCTTTTGAATTTTCTGTTTAAAAACTGGCATTCCAATAGCTTTTCTTTGGCCTAATGCCTGGGTCACATATAGCAGCAGCAAATTAGGAATGTTAAGACGTCCCCCAAAGAAAAATGTTTGTTATGAAAGTAGAGCTGATGTGACACTTGGAATTAGAGCTTCTTAACTTATCTAAATGACAGTTAATGATGGGTTTCTTTTATTCTTATTTTAAAGAAGGGGGGATAAAAATGAAAAGAAATGCCCAGAGGCTGAGATTGGGTTTGGTTCACCAAACTGTTAAATGTCAAATGTACTATACTGATAATACACCTTTTTCTCTCTTTTTAGGAGCTAATTTTGTTACTCGAAAAATTAGCCGGTCAGTGGCTAAGATTTACCTTGGACAACTGGAATGTTTCAGCTTGGGAAATCTGGATGCCAAACGAGATTGGGGCCATGCCAAGGACTATGTAGAGGTAGGAACTGACTCATTATGTTCTTAAAAATACCTGCATCAGTTGGTGTTTTCAATGCCGGGCCTCTAGTGGAAAAGCATGACCTACAAGAGGTGGTAGCATATAAAATTTTGCTAATGCAGATATGTGTAAACTTATTACTTTCATTTTAAGGCTCCACAATTCAGCTTTACTTGTAGATTACACTGAGTGTTCCTTGAATGTGGAAACCTCTCACAATTGTTCTTTTTGTTATTTAAAATGAAGGTGTTGGTCATTCTTTTGGATGATGGATGAAAAAATGTTTGAGTAGTGTTCTTTTCTTTCTAAAGCTTCTTTCTCCTTCTCGCTTCTTGCATCTTCTCCCTCCTGCCTGCCCAATATACATATAACTAACTGTGAAAGAATTTTTAGGTATAAAGGTGAAGTTCTCAGAGCTTCAAGAAATACTACCTAATTTCAATTTGTATAATCCAAGACTTTCAGATTTACATTATGCTACTAAGGTACTCTAAGAGTAATATTCTTATGGAGCTTTTGATTTCTGGTTATTACCCTACACATTTCTTAAAGTATGACTTTGCACACCAATAAATTTTGTTCATTAAAAAGAGAATTGCTAATAGTGATGCTATTGCATAATACTGGATATAGTTAAAGGGAAATTTGAATTTTCGTTCTTGGGACTTAGATACACATTAAATTTTGGTTTGGGTTAGATATGTTACATGTATAAGTAGTGTGATTTTACTTTAAGCAAATGGTTATATTTTACCTTTCCCTGATCAGTATGCTTTTAAATATCCATGGTGGTTTCTGTGGCCAGACATGAAGGAGCATGTTGGTAACATTGTCTTTTTCCCTGGAGTCTGCTTGTCCTTGTTTAGGTGCTTACAGATTTCCTGTGTTCAGGAAACTATTTCTGTCCTTAATGATTCGTCTCTGGGAAACCGGATTTGGCTTCCTTGTTCATTGATGCGATTCAAAAAGAAACTTGAACATTTACGAAAGAAAGCAAACAAGTAGTTTATTTGTTAACACAGAGGTTAGTCTTGGCAGTGTTATTATTTTTGTTTATTACAATTAAAAATGTATACTTGAACACCTAATACTGATTTATATTATGGATAAAAAATTAGCTCTAATTTTAAATTTTAAACAGTGTAACATTTATATCATTTCAGTATGTTCTTCTAAGCTGTCATTACAAAGAGGCATTTATTTTACGACAGTAGACATTAGGTACATTTTAAGAACATTACATTAAAAAATATATAAGGCCACAGTTTCAGAAATTTTAAGAAGTAGGAGAAAGGAGATGTTATCAATAGATGCTGACACTCTGTTTTGTCTAACCTATATGGCCTAACCTACTTAAAAATATGAGGTAAGTTTTATAAAAATGAATACATTACTTTTTCAAAAATATCACTCTAGCTATCTGTATATACTTAGAGCAATAGAAAGCTATATAGGTACCTTCTTTTCCAAACTCTTGTTCTCCAAATTCAGAACCAAATAGATCAAATTTCATTCCATTTAATTTTTTTTTTTTTTTGCACCAGGGTAAAAAATGAAGTTTTTATTAGAACTCAGAAATAGGGGTGCCTGGGTGGCTCAGTCAGCTGAGCATCAGACTTTTGGTTTCTGCTCAGGTCATGGTCTCAGGGTCATGAGATTGATCCCTGCATCAGGTTCCACGCTCAGTGGTGAGTCTCAGAAATAGATTTTGATAGTGAAACAGCATACCAAATGTTAATAATGCTTATTACTGGTTATGTTTATTTTCCTCTTTATATTTCTATATTTTCCATATATTTGAAGTGAATGTAAACTTTTTCAATCAGAAAAAAAAATTAATGACATTTTAAAAATAGGCCAGAAAAAAAATGCACAACACTATTAAATAAATACAGAGTAATGAGTAAGTCTTTTGTGAGCTCAGCAGAGCTGGAAGAAGGACTGTGCTATCATCTCACTCCCAAAATGCCAAGCCTAGCACTGGTCCTGGGTGTAGCTCAAACTTTGAAACAAAGGGGCCACAATTGTTTTCATTTAAAGTAAAAGCATTTTATATACATTTTGGCTCAAAGACTTCAAAAAGGTCTTCCCAAATGCTGTTTTGAAGATTCCTTGACAGGATGGTGTTGGTACAGTGAGCCCAAGAAGCCAAACCATCCATGCAAAAGTAAAATGTTCTGACCTTTCAGTAAGAATCTAAAATTTTCAAATTTTATGGAGAAACAGACATACAAAATTAAGTCATTCTCATTGGCATTCAAGACCTGATTTGTTCCACAATACAAATAGGTTTTGCTATGAAGGATTCCCCTGGGGTTCAGACAGTAACACATGTTGATGATGTAAGAAGCATTGTATAGTTCTCATTTATGGGTCCTGAAAGACATCTAAATTTCTTGATTTCTAAAAAAAAAATGCCATTATTAAGAATTCATTGTTTGCTGTTTCCATTTTAAGAAATATCATCATCCTTTGCATTTCTAAATGTATTAAAATGAAGTTACTTCACAGACTTGTGACTAAAAGTAGATGTTGCCAGAATTAAAGTCAACAAGCATAAGAATGAAAAAAGAGAAGCACTGTTTGTTTAGAGTATATCTGCATCCTGGCGCTATAACCAACTTTAGAATAAAGAAGCCTTGGCAAGTACAGATCAAGCAAGTCATAATAGCATCTTATTTACACTCATTTGAATTATATAATCTTTCTCATTTATACACAAACATATTGTACTGGTGAATCTTTAAATTAAGTGACGTACTTTTTTAGTTATGGATGAACTTCCACGATGAAGAGTAGAGAGCATTTGACAAACAGTGTAGGGATCCTAGCTGTGTCAGTGATTTGCTTAGGGTTTTATATCTCAGTTTACCCATCTGTGAAAAGGGCATAATAACAACCCTGTAAAAAATTAGCATTAATGTGCTGTACATTCATGATTAGAATCTACCTCTGTCTTGTAAACATTTTTGCAACAGTTTATACAAAGCCATTTCCTGTTGCTGATTCAGGTTCATTAATATCCATTTATAGTCTTGTTTCCTAGATCAAAATGATTTAAAACTTAATTTGAGTGGGTAAGCAGTATTTCAACTTGAAATGAAGAATATAAAAACTAGGGGCACCTGGGTGGCTCAGGCGTTGGGTGTCTGCCTTCGGCTCAGGTCATGATCCCAGGGTCCTGGGATCAAGCCCCGCATCGGGCTTCCTGCTCGGCGGGAAGCCTGCTTCTCCCTTTCCCACTGCCCGTTTGTGTTCTCTCTCTCGCTGTGTCTCTGACAAATAAATAAATAAAATCTTTAAAAAAAAAAAAAAGAATATAAAAACTATATTAAATTTTATTGTACTTCAGGATAAACAAGTTATATGCAGTTATATCTTTTCCAATATTTTATTATAAACTTACAGGATTGTTGAATTAATTTTACCATGAGCAGCCATATACCCTCCACCCAGATTCTATAATTAACAACTAACAATTATTGTTGCAATTTGAGAAAAAATATTACTGTTTAAAAACTTCTGTAGTGCTTGATGGATCAGAGCTCTAAATACTCAGTTTACACAAACACAGGTTATCAAGAATTTGCACTTCTTATGGGATATAGTCAGTTGACAATTCAAACTTCTAAAATATTTTTATCTTCTTACATAATTATATGACACCATCTTGCTCTGTTTTCATGCCTGCTGCCCTCCACATACATTGAAGTAACTCCTTGTATTCATGAGAACACACTGGGGGCTGTTGTATACCACATCCAAGCAAATTCAGGTAGTCGACATTTTAACTGCATGGTCAACTGCAAAGGAGAGGACCTCTAACTTCTCTAGGGGGCATTGGTCTTTCCACATATCTTCTGTTCAGTACCTACCATGGTCATGGTTCTAGTTGCTACACATGACAGTCTTTTAAACTTTGTATAAAGCCCAATAAGCCTGCACAGTGCTAAATTGCACAAAGGTAAGCAGATTTCTTTATTTAGGACTGACTTCTCCAAACTTAGGATATATGAATGCACCGTGGCCTGCTAAGATTAATAAAGGTTTCTCAAACTTATTTAATTTTGCCACCCTTTCAATAAAAAATATATATTAACATCTAGCAGTGCAGAGGTAGAAAATGACACCATATGTTTAAAATTAATGGTAACAGTTTGGTTAACAAGGTCCCAGTGTGATCCTACCTTGATGAAACTAGCTAGAATACAACTATAGCCGGAAAATATTGAGAGGTGAGCTAATTGACAAGGGCTGGACTGGAAGTATCTTTAAGTTTTTACCACTCACAAGAGGGTCCTTGCTCTTGGGATACATGGATAATCAAGTGACCTAACTCTGAGTTTTTTCCAAGACTCAGCAAAAAGCCATTTAAAAAATATCATGAGGTTTTACTGCCAACAACTGACCATACAGGTGCTCTTGGAGAGTTCTCCTGGCGCAAAGGCAATCCAGGGCACGTTCAAATTATTAGGGGAGGATTTTTGAGATTCATCTGAATTTTTAATATAATGGTCTCTCACACATACCTCTTTCTTTTCTCTCTCCCTCCCCTCCTTCTTTCTTCCTTCTTTCCCCTCCTCCTCCTCCTTTTTTTTTTTTTTTGGCAGGGATCATAGATTAATTTTTAAAAAAGCTAGTTTTAGAAAAAAATAGTAGGGGCACCTGGGTGGCTCCGTCGTTAAGTGTCTGCCTTTGGCTCAGGTCATGATCCTGGGGTCCTGGGATCAAGCCCCGCATCAGACTCCCTGCTTGGCGGGAAGCCTGCTTCTCCCTCTCCCACTCCCCCTGCTTGTGTTCCCTCTTTCACTGTCTTTCTCTGTCAAATAAATAAATAAAATCTTTAAAAAAAATAATAAAAATTGCCAAATGTTGGACACTCATTATGTGCCAGAAACTTTATTGAGGACTTTACATACATTATCTTATGTGATACATACACCAGTCCTTTACAGATGAAGAAATTGAGGTTTGGAGAGTTCTGGGGATGATTTGCCCAA